TTGGAGGAAGAGTCCCCCTCCCTACAGGAAGCCACGACCACGTGTCATGGCAGGGAAAATGGCCGCGGATCCTGTTCGTCACCTGATTCGGCGTTCGCAAACGGAAGCAAAATTTTGTGAACGTGCTGTTCGTGACCTGAACTGGTCGTGAACAGAAGCGTTCATGACCCAAGGTACCACTGTACTTGGGAACTGAAATGTCCATGTTCTGATGGCTCCTGGTTACTAGAAAATGCCTTCTAAGATAGCAATCAATAAATACCTAGAGATGAGGAGTTTAAATAGTGGGCATCCTCTCATTGGTCACCTCTAAGCCAAACATGAAGAAACTCATAGGCCTGGGTCACATATTCTCAGCTATGATATTTTGGCACAATACTTTGTGTGAACCAAGCCTAATGGTTTGTCCATCATGTTCTGTTGCAGGGCATAACAAACCACACATTTCCACCTCTCACCTAAGCCCTTCAGGATTGTGCCACTGAAATTTGGGGGTACTATGGTGATTTTTAACAGATGATCTTTGATTCTTTTAATCTTTAATAACTGAAAGTCTAAACATTTAGTCCCACTGACACTTGTGCCTTAACCTTTTTGTTCTCCATATCCTTTGTAGCCCTAAGGGGCCAAGAACAATGGCACAAACAAGAGAGTGAGCCTCACTGGAAAAAAGTTACTCGTCCCAATTTACACTTAGTAGAGGGATTAATGATGGGCCACATGCTACACTCCTGGGGAAGTGCCTGGACAGAAATTAAACTTGATTGGATTTACATTTAAATATAAATAAGGAAAGAGAAGAAGAGGAAGACCAACAGCAAGATGGGCAGACTAAGTGACGAGGGCATTGTTGGAAGACCTGAAAGACCAGATTAGGGACAGATTGTCATGGAGAAAAATCTATCTACAGTATGTGGTCACTAAGAGTCAACAACAACTTGACAGCACATAATCAATCAAAATATCTATTTAATATTAATTAAATAGTATATTTAATCACTTATAAAGCTGTACATGGTATAGTGCCTGGTTATGTGAGGGACTGCCCTTTTCCCGCACTTTCTGCTGATATGAGTTGACGGAATAGACCATTTGCCATCTGGTTTATTTATTCTGGTAAATTTATTTATTCTCTTGTATTTTTAAAATCTTACTGTATTTATCTTGTTTTTCTTATATTGTGAGCCACTCAGAATCAACTTGGGGTCAGGTGGTGACAAAATCGAATTAAATAAATAAATAACATTTGTTAGTTGAAAAAGGTGCTACCAGCCTCCTCCTGATTTTTTGCCTCCTTGGACTATGCTCTTGTTTTTCCAAGCTTTAACCATGGCCTGGAACAGTAAATCAAATGACAGAGGACAGATACATCAATAGTGTCTTGGAAATTGTGTCTGTGCATTTTTCCAGTACTGCAACTGCTAGCAGTATAGCATATATTAGATATTACCAAAATAGAATCTGAAATAAAAGAAAACTGCATGGATTCAGGAACAGACCAGATGACTTAATAGGCCTCTATGTATGCATTTATGTAATGGTTTAGGGCCTGTTTGTGCTGACACAAATCACAATTGCCCTAATTCATTGAACTTCATCTAAAAGCAAATATAATCCAGCTGTAATTTTGAAAAGATTTCAGTTAAGTTAACTAGCTCAATTGTAAGGCATTTTAATAGCATCTGAATGTCATAAATATTATGCCAGCAGCTTTTATAAATGCAGTCATTGGACTATGTAT